CTTCATAATAGTGGATATAGTCGAGTGTGAGAAACCTAGGTCGCGTGAGATTGTTGCTACTGCTTTTCCATTCTCAAACTGTGTTATTATCTTCAGTTTCATCTCAAAAGTAATTGCCTGTCTCCTTTTCCTTGGAGTACCACCAGCACTCTCACTTTTACGCTTTCCAGTCATTATAAAGTCAATTAAATACGATAATAACGAAAGTTCACAGCGCGATCAGTATAGGATACGATAGCCAAACACAAACAAAGCGCTCCACTGAGTGAGTGTACCCACGAGGCGACCCAAGACAACCTCCCTCTCGCCCGGGACGGAAACATTTCGGTATAGAAAATGCGCGCGTCATTTGAAAATATTTTTGGTCACGACGGTCGCAGTCGTATGTCCCGTATGGACGTACGGTCAAAGCAGGTCGTAAGTACCAATGGACGTAAGTCCACGTAGTCGCAAGTCAAGGTCTAGCTGTATAGTATTCCACATACACGTAAGTATAAATAAAAAGTTTATGTGATGATCAGACAACGTCCATTTCGGTTAACGTCACGTTTCCAAGAACGTATCTAGGATGTTAACCAGCACATGACTGTATAAAGATTAATTCAATCAAATACATATTCAGTAATAAACAATAATGAATCGTTTGTACATAATCTTAAGATAAATGATGAGGTATCCTTAAATGCGCAAGTAAAGCTCCTCCTCAACTTACGGCCACCCGTACTTACGACCTGCATCAGTCGTACCAAAATTTGGTCAAATTACGTATTTTCGAGTCCCAAAGTCAGTACACAGACAAAATTTTCGTTTGTAATTCACTTTAAAATAGCTGGCAAGCTAAAAAGTGAGTGTTTTGTGGTGCTGAGAAGAAAAAGAGACATCCATTTTAGATTTTCTATGTATTATTTAAGCATTTCCGACTTAAGACATTTCGACTTACGACCTGGATTTGGGTCCCTAACCCCGTTGTAAGTCGGGGAGGAGCTGTAGATGCTGGCGTTCCCACTCCATCTCTTTTTTTTCTTTGCCATTAGTGGTTAGCTTCTTCTATTGTTCCATTTATTATCATTAATTAATATTACTTAAAACATATATACAGTGACCCCTCGGTTAACGAACTCAATCCGTTCCAGAAGGTCGTTCGTTAACCGAAAAGTTCGTTAACCGAAACCATTGTTTCAATGGGTTTTTGGGTAATTGGTTCCAGCTCACCGAAAATTTCCTAAATTCAACAAAAATGGTAGAAAAGTTCACTTACTTTGAGGTGTGTATGTAGAAGGCTCCTGGATGATGATGATGATGTGCATTTGAAGTGGGAGGTGGAGGAGGAGAAGGGAGAAGAGAAGGCATTGGGGTGGAAGAGAAGTCACCCCATGGCGCCATTTCACCCATAAAATTTTAGTTCTCTTGGTGTAATTCAAGATTATTTTCTTTAAATCAACACTGCACTGCATTATATATTGTCAATATGTAAAATAAATTTCAAAATGACCAATAATTTGCTTGGAAACACAGAAAAAAAGCATTTAGTTGAAGAGAGTCTCAAGCAATATGTTGCCTCCACTGAAAAGACATAAAGACTGACGCCTGTATGGTGTGTTAACAGGCTGGATGGCGTGCCAGAAACTAGTTTCTTTACCTTCAATTATGTTCAATAATTGTTAAAATGACTAAAAAATTTAATATTAAACTTTTAAAATTATTGAATAGTATAAACTTCTTGATATTTACTAAAATAGTAAGGAATTTAAGCCCTAGAACCGATTAATGTATTGGCGGACTGATACTAAAGCTGGTTGCCCGGTCAGTGCAAGCGAAAACATGTTGAGGTCGGTTCGTAAAAAATTCGTTAACCGAATTTTTGTTCGTTAACCGAATTGAAGATCCTTATGGAAGGCAGTTCGTTAACCGAAATTTCGTTAAACGAGGGGTCACTGTATACTAATTTTTTTACATTAAATTTATTACAGCTACAAACAGGGTCTTATTTTCTTCATTTTCTCGTGTAAAACTATCGTCACGGACTCCTGGCTGTAAACACAAACGAAAATAATGGCGTCCCATCTCCTCTTGTGTGACCATATTATTATTCATTTATATTGTATAAAGTGCATTCAGAAACAATATTTAAAGAATATAGTTTATAATTTTCATTATTTGTATTGTTTTGGGGGGAAAAGAGGGTAAAAAGCCACACAAAAGATATGAAAAGGTCACACTTGGGAACGCATCTCATTATTATTGCTTTATTTTAATGATAATTAATGATTCATGATACGATGATTCACCTTACACTGCAATATTGGAGGACATATTACCGTCGTTATTCGAGGCTTTACTATACAGGCCACAATGCTGTTCTCTGCACTTTTCCCCGTACCTGACGGGCAGCAAAGAACGTGTCAGTGGTGCCAAGTGATGGTCTAAAGCCACTTTCAGATTCTGGGACGAAGTTTTCTGCCTCAGGAAGAAGTCTATTTCAGAGGACTCGGGTGATAATCTTGCCAGCTACGGAGAGCAGTGAGATTCCATGGTAGTTTCCACAGTCTGACCGTTCTCCCTTGTTCTTATAAATACTGGCGATGGAGGCGTCTTTAAGAGATTGGGGGGTTTCCTCCTTTTTCCATATATTCTCCAGGAAAGAGAGAAGACGGCTGGTAAGCAGAGATCTTCCTGCTTTATACACCTCGGCTGGGATTCCATCAGGCCCTGTGGATTTGTTATTTTTCATCTGTTTGATGGCAGTAGCTACCTCATACAGGGACGGAGGATAGCTGAGGTGGGTCAGCTCTGGATGCTGAGGACCTGCTGGGTAGTCAGAACATCCACATCAGTGCTTCAGTTGAGCAACGAATGGTAGTACACTTTTCAGCGCTGAAGGATGCCTTCTTTGTTCTTAATTAGGGATTTACCGTCAGATGAGCAAAGGGGGGCTGCGCCATGAGTGACTGGCCCATAAAATGTTTTAGTGGATATGAAGAATTTGCCCATCTTCAAGTTTTTGCATTTCACATGCGAAGTTCGCACTGGGCCACCACTTTCTTCTTTTGGAAAGTATCAGCTTTGACCCGAGATTGTGGGTTGTTCTGCCAGTCAGTTAAAGTAACACATTTTATTATCGATGTGTACATTGATTGCTGGGTCATTTTCATCAAACCAGTCCTGGTGTATTCTTTCGTTCTGGCCGAGGGTCTCTCTGCAGGTTTTTGTCATGACATTGCCGAGAATATCCCATTATGCACTGGGATTTTGGTTATTGTTGTTGGGTTGTTTATCAGCCCATGTTTGAGCTGTTCTCTGAAAGCATGTGCTACAGATGGATCCTCCAGACGCTTAGTGTTAACACCTCTTCTGGAGGTTTGTTGCCTTTGCTGTTTTGGAGCGACATGAACTAAGAACTTAACTCTAACGAGTCGCTGATCAGTGTCACAGTGGTCTGAGCCACACATGATGTAGTCTATGTGATGCCTGTGGGTGTTGCCACGAACCCTTGAGCTTGTCAGCCTGCCTAAACAAGGTATTGGTGATAGTGAGGCACACGCACACACATAATAATGGAAGCCCTTCGAAATCGAGGATGGCCGACCCAAGAGCCACCTAGGCGTGAATTTGTTTAAAGTGTAGAAGCTGTCGCCAACACAACAACCACACCCTGAGTTAACGAGCTACACGACCAGTGTCAAGGAATAGTCCGAGAAGACAGGACAACTCGCCAACTGCATTGGCTAACCATTACCCTGGAATACGATCTGCAAATCGATTAACATCCAGGTTCCCAATTACTGCTGGGTAGCCAGAGGAAAATGGCAAAAAGAAACTTGCCCAAAATTTCACCCTGCCCGAGGATCGAACTTGGGTTCGCTCACTTGCGAGGCGAGAATGCTGACTATTACACCACACGTCTCATCACATACACACACACCTACTGGGCTTAGGACCAAAATCCGCCAAATCCAGGAAATCGGCTTACTCACAAACACATTGTTATGCCGAGGCATAATTTAGTATTATAAATTTTGTGAACTAGGTGTTCTGATTATTTTCTATTCCAAGCAGCAGTTACTTGGGTAAGTTTTGGAAGATTTTCTTGTATATACAGTTCGTCTCCGACTTACGAACGCCCGCTGTTATGAACAGGGTAAGTACCTGATGACTTATTTTTTACTTTCATTTACAGTATTTTGTCATTATATTTCTTCTTTTGTCTTCAATTAAGTGATTTTTAGATGTATATAAGGACTTAGGCTATGATATAGTGGGATTCTGTAAGTATGGTATGCACATGGCATGTGTTCCAACTTACATACAAATCCGACTTATGAATGTCCTCAGGAACAGAACCCGTTTGTAACTCAGGGACTCCCTGTATTAATGTATTACCCATGTAAGATTTTCTACAATGTACTGTATTGCATCATTTTGGTATGATTCACTTAGGTATTGCAAGCCATAATCAGAGTAGAACCTTCTAGAACTTCCCAGGAGTGTGTGGATGGTGCTAGGATGTTCTAGAGTTATCTGATGGGGTATATAAGCAGCAGCAAGCTGCCTAGGGGAGAACAGTCGACTGTTTCTGTTCAGAGTGTGAAGTATATGCCTAGGGACAACTAAAGATAATTGTTGTTCAAGTATTGTGGAATTGTTGTGAGCGATATAAAGTGAAAAGACTAAGGCACTGTACACTGGTAGCGTGCTGGCTGTATATATTCGAAGAGAGAAGTCCAGTTGTGAGAATTACCCTATGAACAGTTTATTGAGAAGATTTAGTGAATATTAAAGAAGCCTACAGTTCACAAGTGTGTTTCTGTGATCTGGTGGAAATACACCTGATGGTTGTTTTGTCTGTACACTGATACTGACCGTCGGGAAATTACTGGAAACTGGCGGGACAGCCAGTGGTAATTTGACGACACTTGTGATATATCTACAACTTGGCCGCTGGTAACCAGCGGTGAAAGCCGAGTAAGCGGCAAAAGGGTTTGTAACAACATTAAACATACCTTCCGAATCTGTGTTGAAGGCGATGATCCAATAATCAATGGGGATGATTCCTCATTTGTATCTTTCTGTTTTTCATCTAACTGACTGCCATCATTTTTCCTGGTTCTCTCCTGTTTCTTCCTTCGTGTTATACTTCTCTTGTTTGTTCCCGGCCTCTTCACTTTCCCGTTCACTGTTACGTTTCCCTCTTAATCGTTTAGACCAATTTGGTGAGCAATCATCATCCTCGTTAGTTTTCGTGTTATTAATGCTTTCCTCTCCCACACTCTCTCTACTGGACAGCTGCCTCTATCTGGTGTAGCCAAAGCTGATGACGCTTCCTTAGTTTTTTTAAGTTCATTAGCTCTGTATAAAGTTCCAGATTCCTACTGTCCTCCTGCAAACTCTACATCTGTTGAAAAATTAATTAAAACTATTATTATGAACACTGTGGAGGGGGTAGACTAATTTAAATTCTGCCTCTGAGAGATCCATTCTTTGGGTACCACAATACAGCTTCATTCAGTTTTTGAAAAGCGAGGAGACCTAAAGCTAAAGGCCCAGTGTACCAAAACAAAAGGGATATTCAAAAGGTAAAACAAAGGAAACTGCATCTCTATCAGTGTCCTGGGCTCAATCCCTGGCCATTTCTTCTTAAATGTCATCTAATCTTTAATAACCTATATTTTTTCATTCATTATTTTCTAGTAATTTTTAGGTCTTGCAAATTGAAATGTTAAATATTCTCTAACTATTGCTATGCTACTGTCACCCTCCCCTTTTAACACATTCTCATTAAGTGTTTTAATGATGTAAGAACAAGACCAGCTTATAGATGTATTTATTATGTGGTACTTTATTCTTATGTTTATGATATTTATGGAATGTCTAGCACTAATCTCTTAAACGATTCTATTTGGATGAATCCCTCATCACCAAACTGAGAATCAGTCTTTGGTTTGTGTGTTACAGCCATCACCCACCAACTTTATTTATGTCCAGAAACTCATTGAAGAACCAGAAACCATTCATAATGCAAAGAATATCTTTCAAACAAAGCTTATCTGCCTTAAGTATAAAGTACAATTTGTTTCACAACTAAATTAAACATAGGGCATTAAGATCAAATTCTGCTAAGCTGAAAAGATATACAGCCCTAAAGTATGAACATACATCTTTGAGATATGCTCCTTGACCTCTACACCATCCACTGAGGACAAGAAGAACAGATGATGTCTTCACTTCTTCGTTTATACCGCTGCATGGAAACAATCCCTGGATAAGTCCGTCATCGATTTTCTAAAAAAGTACATTATAATGTGAGTGTTTATATTTAAACAAATTTACACCTAGAATAGATTGCACGTTTATTTTGGTGAACAATGAAGAATACTAACCATACCCATCCAAGCTTTTTGTAACAATTCATTCATTCTTACTGTGATGAAGGGTGTGTTTAGATATGGTACAGTACAGGTATACCCTGTAAACTGATGTTCCTTCCCATAACCGACGATTACTGTATATATTAGAGATGTTCTTATGAAATACCCTGAAATTTCGCTGGCCACCCAGTTGATCCGACGATTGGAGGAGGAGGGGCAGAGCGCTTTTAAGTTTGGTGCACGGTAGCATGATGAGAATTCTTGCCACGAGTACACAAATCTGTATTTCGTTACTTATCAAGACTCTACAATGTACAGTAAAACCTTGTTAAGGTGGACTAATTGTGGGGAAGGGGTGTACGGGATAAGAGATTGTCTGCCTTAGAACAAATTAAAAAAAAAAAGATCGCCATTTCAAACAAAAAATGAGTACAACACCAATGTATCCAATTTTTGTGAATGAAATACTGTACACGTTTTTTTAATAAAATGAATTTCAAAAAGTAATGTATACAAACTAATGTACAGGCTTAACCTTCTCACCACCCTTAAGGATACCAAACACTTTTTAAAGACAAACACCCAAAATACAGTTAGGTTCTCAAAATGGCCGCTAATTGCCAAATCCACGAATAAAATTTGCTGACCGGGGGTGGGGAGGGGGTGTGGCATTTTTAATTGTGTCCAAAAAAAATTGTATATTCCCTTTATGTATTTGCCCTTAGGACAATTACCGTATATACCCGTGTATAGCACGAGTTCTTAAGACCAAATTTTTTGGCAAAAAGTTGGGGGTCGACCTCTATACGGGTAATAGTTTCGTTAGTTTGAAATTTTTTTTACCAGTAACTACCAGTAAACAATGGAAACGACGCACCAACGCACCACCCGCTGTGAGTGTCGGTACAGTTGCCAGGGCAGATCTCTTGCGTCATCATAGCAAGCCCAAAGTAGCCAAATGCATGGTATGGTATGCACAGGAGTATGTAAAACATAAAGTATTCTTTTTTAAAAATTTATTTATAGATACATAAATTTTTGTTAATTAAATTTGAAACAAAAGAAAAATACGATACCTTATTTATAAATATTTTCATTAAAATATTACATCACAAGTATATTTTACCTTAACTGTGCCTGAATGAATATATTCTCAGAAATAAATATGGAAATGTAATATCTTTGCTGAAATGACGTACGTATTACAGTGGAAAGTGGGATAAAATTGTGACGAAAACAATGACTCACTCTCTTTCGTCGTTCAAAAGATTTTACCGTAATCGTTTTTCGAATGGTTTTCAGTTAAAAAACTGTTGTATTACAATAATATTCTATCCTAATTGACTTGAATAAATACTACGATACCATATTTCTGAATATTTTCATTAAAATCCATCAAAATCATTTTCCTTGTCATCATCTGTAGCACCAAACAGCTCCTCCCAGTCCTCTCCTTGAACAGCATCGTCATATGGATCAACACCATCATCAGCCATAGGATCATCAATATCTTCATCCTCATTCACGCTCTCATTAGCCTCATAATCCCACAACAAGTCGTCTTCTGTTCCATCAAGAGCATTCGAAATCCCACATTTCTTAAAAGATTTCACCACAATTTCTGGTCTGATTGCATCCCAGGCCTCTACAATCCATTCACATAATGTTGCTAGTGATGGAGCTTGGATGTTGCCTCCCTTTGTGTATGTCTTATCACCTTCTATCATCCAGTTGTTCCACTTCACTCTTACCGCATCTTTAAATGGTTTGTTTCTGGAAACATCCAGTGGTTGGACAAGACTTGTTAATCCACCAGGAATCACAGCTGTATCAGTGTTTTCCTTCCTAATCCCAGCAGTAACACTGTCAACAAGATGTGACCGAAACATATCCCACACAAAAAGACTTTTTTCTTTGCGCAGTCCCCCTGGTCTAAAGTTCCAGACTTTTTTAAGCCATATTTGTATGCCGCCTTCATCCATCCATCCTTTCTCGTGCACATGGATGATTAAAAAAATGCTGTCTGACTTGCAACACTGTTGGTAGGGTCAGGTGGTTCTAACGGCACCTGCCAGGACCCGGTAATCAAATTTATAACAGTGTCTAACCTCAATTACTGTAGTTATCTGATGTAGGCAATATGAAGTAAAAAATACCAGTTAAAGTGAGAAATTGGAAGAAAATAAACAAGGAAGATGTCGTTGGGCTATTTTTGGTAGGGCTGAGGGAGAGAGTACCAGCTGTTTGGTCTTTTTTGGCGGGAGAGTCACGCAAATAACCGTAGTACTGGTATTTGTTTGGTGTCTTCTGTATTTTTAAAAATGAATACAGTCAACCCTCACTTTACGCGGTCCCACATTCCGCGTTTCCACGTTTACGCGGTGCCCTGCCAGAACCCAGGATGCTCACATTCCGCGGTGGGTGTACCCCTTTACACGGTGAAGTATAATTTTTTTTAATTTAGCTCATAAAATTCATACAAATTATCCGGCCAGAATATAATTTACATTGCTGGAATTCTTACAATTTGATGATCATTTTGAATATAAACATCATAGATTTTGCATTAGACATACAAATTTTAGATATAATGTTTACTCTTGAGTAAATATGTTATCTTTTGTGCAAAATATATGATATTTATATTCAAAATATTCCTGGTCTTACAAGGAATCCAGCAATGTCAATTATATTATCCTAACTTTAGTCTCATTTATTATTTATTACTAAAAAGGTAAACAGTCTGGTATTCCCACACATTTATCTAGTAGGGACGTTGTTGGGGGGTGGGGGGGTGGGGGGGAGGGAGGGAGGGACCGGCGACCGACCATCTGTTACCGTGTGAAGAATATTTTTTTTTTATTAACTGAAGATTTTTATTTTAGCTCATAAAATTCATACAAATTACCCGGCCAGAATATAATTTACATTGCTGGAATTCTTACAATTTGGTGATCATTTTGAATATAAACATCATATATTTTGCATTAGACATAAAATTTTTAGATAAAATGTTTAATCTGAGTAAGTATGTTATCTTTTGTGAAAAATATATGACATTTATATTCAAAATATTCCTGGTCTTACAAGGAATCCAGCAATGTCAATTATATTATCCTAACTTTAGTTTGAGGTATTATTTATTACTATACCTGGTTTTCCCCCAAAAATTTCTCAGAGAGGGAAGAGCCAGGAGTGTAGTGTGAGAAGAGGGGGAGGGAGTCATGTCCATTATTTGAATGGACATTAACTTGGCGACTGTATTTCTCTATTTCTCTTAAGTATTAATTGTGTGCATGTACCATCATAAAATTAAGATGTTATTTTTACTACAACATAGTTATGTGTCGTCAAAAAGTGGAGTTTGGGGATCGGCCTGGACTACATTTCAATTAATCCCATATGTTATGTTATTCACTTTACGCGTTTCTCGCTTTCCGCGGTACCCTCCGGGTTACATTAACCGCGTAAAGTGAGGGTTAACTGTACTTGTAAATTAAAAGTACTGTAACATTGTATTATATACAAACTTGTCATATTTCTGTAAAATAAGAAGCAAGAAAATAAGAATATACCGGTAAACACAATTTCAATGTACGCTAAAATTAAAAGCTGCTTAAGAAGGGCCGATGCAAACACAAAGCCTCCGCGACCAGGGCTCTGCCGTATCAGCTAGACGGTACACGTGTTTTTCGAATCGTTTTCAGTTAAAAAACTGTTACATCCCAAGTGAATTAGGATAGACTATTATTGTAATACAACAGTTTTTAACTGAAAACCATTCGAAAAGCAATTACGGTAAAATCTTTTCAACGAAAGAAAGCGAAAGCAATTGTTTTTGTCATGATTTTATCCCACTTTCCACTATAATACGTACGTCATTTCAGCAAAAATATTACATTTCCATATTCTCAGAAATAAATAGTAGTTTTGCCGAAACATGATGTATTTCAATGTAAATTAGGATAAACTACATGATGAAAACAAGACTTTACCAAACCTTCCGATGTTCAAGATATGTTAC